TGGAGGTAAATTATGCCAAAATTCGGGCAGCAGCGGCAGGCAGCGGCAGGCTAAGCACTTCTCTGTCCAGGTGCCACTTTGTCCGACTCAATTTTACACTGTAATAGAGGTGGCTGGGTCTCTCTCTCTCTCGCTCCCGCTCTCTACCTTTGCGCTGAGCTTCTCTCAGCCAGTCCATTTTCTCCTGCCTCTCCTAACTTCTCACAGTGGAACACTTAATTCCAGCTAACACCAATCAGATGGACAGTGCACTTCCTTTCTCGGCCTGCGCTCTATCAGCTGTCTCGCTCTCTTTCTTTCCCAAAATAGTTTTTTCCAAGTGAAAGAGTTTTACTAGCTGCCCGAACTGCCAATATCTCTCTTAGATTGAAAAAATCTGATCAGTGGCAGAAATCTTTCAGTATTACTTTGTCGGTTTGCTTTGTTTTGGCTTGTTTGCCTTGGCCTCTGGCTTATAGGGAATTACACAGGGTTTGTCTATAGGCTTCCTTTTTGTATGTGTTAACTTATTTTCACTTAGAAAATCAACAAAATATGTAATTTGGCCAGGGCCACCCAAACTTTAGCATACGGCGGTGCTTAGTAGCTCCCAACTGACGAGAGAAACAGCTCGAGTTCAGATAAACAAACATTACTCACTGCTGCCTTCTACGCATACTGTAGCACCAAGTTAGAAGTAAGAAGTTTTGTTGTTTTCACAAGACCTATGACATCTCAATAAATGTTTTCTGCTTTTTTGCTTACGTGCATTTGCCATAGCTCAATTGATTAAAACACATTCATGCAGCATTAACGTATCATTGTGAAAGATAACAACTCTGGAGAACATTGTGATCATGTAAAATAATTGTGATTGGGCGATTATGTAATAATTTTGACAGGCCTACTAGGGTGAGGTGATTGTTCACTTGTATATTTCTGTGTGTGTTCGCTAAAGAAGGTGCATGAATGTAGGTTATTGTGCTACTAGCTAATTACATACAGGATATGTTTAGGTGCTGAGGTGAAAGGGTGGTCTGTCTGCACATACAGACACATACACACAGACCTCTATAAATACAACCACAGCGCCTACTCAGTCTATCAGACCACAGATCATTATTGTGCCTTACTTGAGATGGTGATGGTGTCCTAACAAGATGTAATTTAAGCCTTGAAGTCTCTATAAATAGACTTGGTCATCCAGTGTGGCTTGAATGGAAATGACGAGAGTGGAAAAATTAATTGCCTCCATTTACTTTAAAGGAATACTCTAGCTTTTTTCCATCTAATCTCTCTCTGCCAAATCTGTATCATTGTGGCAATTACCACTGACTATAATTTCAACATATTATCCTGTACAGAACAATAAATATGTCAATGAATTCCATGTATAAAAGTTTGAAATATGTGGCTATATAATGCAAATTCTTAGCTACTCTTTGACAGTAAAAGTCTTACATGAGAGAATGCCTTAATTTAGCTGATCTTGTAAGGTTTATTCAGCTTTCAAATCCTGAAGTAACACAGTAAAAAATAAATTGTGGTTCCTTTCACAATTGCTAAGTTTTTCTGGTATACTTCTGTGATGAGGTGGAGCCTGTGAAGTCTCTGGCCACATAACAGCACTGTGGCGGAGACTGTGTGTGTGCCTACATCATTACATTCAGGGGAGCCAGTAAAAACTCTGCCCACATCACTACATTCAGGGGAGCCAGTGAAAGCTGCACCCACATCACTACATTCAGGGGAGCCAGTGAAAGCTGCACCCACATCACTACATTCAGAGGAGCCAGTGAAAACTACACCCACATCACTACATTCAGGCGAGCCAGTGAAAGCTGCACCCACATCACTACATTCAGGGGAGCCAGTGAAAACTACACCCACATCACTACATTCAGGGGAGCCAGTGAAAACTACACCCACATCACTACATTCAGGGGAGCCAGTGAAAACTACACCCACATCACTACATTCAGGGGAGCCAGTGAAAACTACACCCACATCACTACATTCAGGGGAGCCAGTGAAAGCTGCACCCACATCACTACATTCAGGGGAGCCAGTGAAAACTACACCCACATCACTACATTCAGGTCAAGCCACTGACACCCTGACCGCTTCACTATACTGGTAACTTATTACTAATTATAGATTATTCTTTCTGGTAAACTAGTTGCATCTCAGGGAGAACTAATTAAACAGATGGATGGCTTAAATTACAAATACCTTTTACTGAAGATGATGTTCTACAAAAATGCTTGTTTTGCATAAATGTTTATCACTGGATTTTAGTGCTGGAATTTAGCATTGGCTTTTATTGTAAGTGTGCTTTGAGTCAATGGATTATCTGTTGTTGGGAAACGTGTTTAAATTATTCTCAGTATTAACTGACTAGAAGCTACAGAAGCAACAGATTGAACAGGATGAAAAAGATGGCGTATTCTTTTAACTTTCATCAGTTTTTAGTTACACAGAGAAATGGGAATTTACCAAGTAAACACAACTGCAGTGGTTGATATGGCTTTAGTTATCCCCCCACCCTGTCCAGACCTTTGTGTCCTTTAGGTCACGCTCCACAGTCCAACCCTGTAACCTCCTGCATTCCAGCCAGCCTTTTTCCCTCTCTCACTAACCACCCCCCTCCTTTCCCTGCCTCTCTGTCTTTCATCTCTCTGCCCCAAAAACGCTAGCGAGTGTTTGCATTTTTAGACTTTTTGTCTCTCTCTCTGTACTCTTCTCCATAAATTCTTTATGCATGTTGGGCCGAGCGGCAGACGAGAATACACCAGACATGCAGACAGTCCTGAAGCAACCCCGGGTAACATTAGAGAGCGGTGTGTGTCTATCATTCTGCTCCACTTTCAAACCGGCCCGTCCCGCTAGGTCTAACGGCACAATCAGCTCCAATCAATGGCCTCCTTTTCATTGATAAATGAAGAGCAGGAAGAAGCAAGTCAAGAGAGAGATGGTGGAGACAGACAGATGTAAGGGGTTGAGAGCAAACGGAGGGGGAAGGAGGGAGTTAGACAGAGAGAGAGCCAGAAGGAAGCCTTGTCAGTATTTATTTGCACAGAAGCAGCAATTCAGCCGCACTGTCTGAGATTTAAGAGCACGACTGCTCCCGTCTTGCTTCTCTCTCTTTCTTTCTCTCTCTCCTCATCTCTCTCTCTCTCTCTCTGTCTCTCATTTTCTCTCTCTTTCTCACTGATTGATCCACGTTTATGAACATGAGGTTGGGCCTCCTCATAGATTTTTAAATTAGCAGCAGCTTTGCCCCAAAGATGCATTATTGATTGATGGAATAGAAGCTGAGCTTGAAACACTCCTGCTTTCCCCAGAGTTTTCTAGAGTCTGGTAATTGAAAAAGTGTGTGTGTGTGTGTGTGTGTATGTGTGTATGAGACAGACAGAGTGAGAGGCAGGAGAGCTGGCGTACTTAGAGTCTGTATAGAGTTAGGCACGCAGCTGGGCGTAATTTATGTTGATGCATATTGGAACTGTATCTGTGATTACTCAGTCTAACTGCCCCTGACCTCTCATCGCTTTGTATTATGGTTTCAGTTTTTGGTAGAAACCATCTTATTCATCTAATAGGACATATGGTGTATTTATGTGGTGTGTATATAATGATTTTCTGTTCAGAGCCGATTGTGTTGCTGATACAAACTACAATGAGGCCGCCACGCCAAACCAAAGAGATTACATGTGAATGGCACATGATTTGTGCAGAAGTCCTAGTCTTATAGTTGACTCATTGCCCCCCCACCTCCCTCTCTCACTCTGTCACTCGATCATTTAAAATTCCTTGTTGGTGAATGCATAAAGCCAAACTAAAGAAATCAATGTTGGAATGTTTAACCCCTTAAAGAGTCTGGATCTAAACTTTTATTACATGCGCATTTACTGTAAAAATTACAAATATGTATGTAATAAATTACCATTATAACATAATCATTTTGGATATATATTCTAAATAATATATAACAATATATAATTGATATAATCAAGTATTCAGAAGAGTTAATGAGTTTATATTCAGCTGACATCTGGGGAGGAAAATGAAAAGGAAAAAGAACACATTTGAAAAAGTATAAAATAGCCAGGAGAAATCTGTAGTCTTTTGTGATGGATGAGTAATAGAGGCTGCCTCTTCAGATGAGCTAATACACTAACAGAGCTAACCGGTACGTTTTTGGAGGCTAATGGAAATTCATCTTCTAGAGGTGATCGCTTTCACCTCAGTGGACACTGTGCTGACATGTTATCCATTTTCACTATTTCAGCTCTGTATCAGCTACAGTAGCATATACAGCTGAGCTGCCTCTGGCTTCTTAATCATGTCCTTGGCATTGCATTGTTGGCAAGGCCCTTGTATTAAGGCATTTGCGTTTTCCTAAGTGTTACTCACAAACACAAGCAAACTCACCACATTTTACAGCCCTGTTAAAACGGAACACCTGCATTTTACTGAATTGTTGGCCTGTATTTTTCTCAGTCCTCCCATAAAGGAATGTAATGAACACCCAAATAGTGATTTCAGTATTAAAATACTGGCAGCTCAAACGCTTAACTAAATAATCTTGTACCTGTGCACGTCCCTATTAATAATAACTCAGCCAGTTTGCATCGTAGTCCATGTAATTACTAAAAAATACGACTTGGTATGTAATAAACCTGGGTTTTGTGGGGTTTATTTGAATAAAAATGATGGTGAAAAATATGGAAGAAAACAACAACGAAACATTCACATCGTGAGTGTCTTGTATCTCTGAATTGGGAGCTTTATAGGAGAAGGAAAAAATATGTACATTTAAAAACTTAAATGTAATCTTAACAAGCGTTAGTGTAACAGCATTTTATTTTGAGAGGTGATATAAATGGAAATGCATATTGTACACTTACACTCATGACTTCACACATATATTTACACATAAATGTGATTATGCACACATTCACAAAAGTCTGTATGTATACACACTAATCCGCTCTGTTCTGTCTCCCTCTCTCTTTCTCCAGGATCAGACATGGCTATCTTCTGTCTGTTGTGTGGAAAGCGCTTTCAGACGCAGACGGCCCTGCAGCAGCACATGGAGGTCCATGCAGGCGTGCGCAGCTACATCTGCAGCGAGTGTAACCGCACCTTCCCCAGCCACACGGCCCTCAAGCGCCACCTCCGCTCACACACAGGTCTGGCCCACATCCCTCTTAAGCCCTCCACAACACCGATAGTCCAGATGTTCCGTCGGCTATGCCAAAATAAAATAAATAAACAAACAAATGCACGCATCCTAGTTTATAGAACGGCCCAAATAGTCGAGCCGCTTTGATGTTTTGACTTGTAAACAGACGGAATTTGTAATCCCTTGGTTCCTTGCACAGCACAGGGAATTCTAACGTTTGAGCTCTTGAAGCTGATGGTTTCGAAATATATTCCTTCATGTCATGATTGTCTAAGCAGTAGGGAGGTGCCGATCCAGTTTTTTGAGTCCTTTAATATCATATGTCTGCCGAAACCCAGTCTGATCCAACATTTGAGTTCTCATAAGCTGCACAGTACAGACTTTAAGTGCAAGTAATTCAAATAGTAAGCCAAATCTAGTTTAGATAAGCTATGTTAGGCTGGCATTTACTTTTAAATGCTGCAGTAAAAACATTTGAATTTTAGTATGTGCATTTTATGGGACATTCTGATACATTTAGGGTTTTTTTTTATGGTCTACTTGTTTTTTTTTAAATGACCATTTTGTGGTATTGAATATGCTTTTTTTTTGTCTCTAACTTGCCAGAAGTACACAATACTTTTTAATGAAAGAGTGGTGTAGGTCAGTGTTTGAATAGTCATTCAGGAAAGTGTAAAAAATCTTTTAGTAAATTAGAATTTTTGATAAGCAAAGTCGCTTCTTTATATGGTTTTACATTCTCATATTGTAGAAATGTGAGATGTCTAAACTTTATACTAATCAGAGCGCAATGTAGCTCAGTTTTGATCAGAGTTTCTTCTCTCTTTAGTCCAAAAAAGAAGCATAGAAATATGACTCCATTTGGCTAAATGCTGCTGCACACCTGGCCAGAAGCGTTGTTTGACTGAAATGCCCATCACTGGTGTAGAGTACTCTACACCTAGTACTCTTAAATCTTCATAACCATCATTGTAGCTGTTACAAGTGCTTGTTGGGCTGTTTCAATGTACCGCTTTAAAATAGTTCCACAATGCAGATATGTACATCCCTAACTTCTGAAAACATGACTAACTGCAGCAGATTGTGGATAATGTCTATTTACGTCACCTCTTTGTAAATGTAAACAGAGTGTAGCAGGGTAAAATAGCCTTAGCAGAGGATTGGAATAGGATTCAGCCTAATGTAGTTGATATTGATTAATGAAATTATGCACTGATTGGCTCTGACACCGATCTATCAGATTGGATCAGGACATATAAACTGTTCACACATTTCAAAAACATATAGTGGATCAATGGGTCAGTCTTTAAAGAACCATTTTTATAAATGATGTGTGAGTGTGAAGGTCCAACCAATTAAAAGTTTTCCGAGCCGTACATCCAAGCCAAGAACAATTTAACAACCTTTATTTTTAAGAGCGTATATCTCGTGGCTGTGTTGAGCTGTGAATGTGGAGGCTCTGTACTGTAGCGTTCGCTCTTTGATCGCTTGTGCCATTCAGCAGCAGCAGCAGCAGAGTCAGCCCAATGGAGAACAGCAATGCTGAATTGACAGGTCATTTAGCGGAGGGCCCTGCTCTGTGATGGTTTGTGACAGTGCCGTTATTCGGCCGTCCCAGGCTGGCTCTGCGCGTGCACAAGCAGATGAGGTGACTCAGGGAACAGCCTCTATTACGCGTGGAGAATATGAGACGATGGAAATGAATCCCATTTTCTCTCGAAAAGGCTTTTCCCCTCCCGCTCTCCATCTCTGACCTTAAATAACAGGCTGGTGTGTCAAAGCCGCTCTGGGCTGCTGCGCCTGGGATAAATATTTGAAGCGAAAGTGGCGAGATGAGCAGAGCTGGGCCCTGTTTACGGGCCGAGGGACAGCCCTTATTGGGCGGAGATACTGTACACACTCGTCCGAGCCGGACGCCACATCAGAGACGACGTGCCGCCGCTCCCGCCTGCACACATAAATGTCAGCGACTCTCCCTGCTGCCACGACGAGAGGGAGAGAGAGAGAGAGGGAAAGAGAGAGAGAGAAGGATGCAGCGTCGCGCTTCTTTGAACCCAATTCTCTGTAGGCGTGTATTAAATTACAATGAGCATCACAAGCACCCGTTTAATGTGATGTGGGGGCTTTTGTCAAGGGATTTAAAAAGAAAAACTGCAATTGGCCCAGGCAAAAGCACCAAAAATAAGTCTTGATTTATTTATTTTTTTTAAGAGCCAATGCTCACATTTAGTTCTCCTTTGATCTTCTTAATCTCATTCATATTTTTCTCATGCTGTAGAGGGGATCACTGGTATAAAAACACACTGATGTTCTGCTACAGATAGAACTGAAATACCGTGCAGCTTCCGCTTCATCAACAATTAACCCCCACTCAAATATGGCGTTAATATTCTGTGTGGTATAATTAAAATCTCTGCGTCATGTGGGCTTTCAAACAGTGGACTTATTTAGAAATGTAGTATCTGATATATTCCCTTTGCTCTGGGCGCTCCAATATAGATCCACACATCAGTATATCAGTAATAAACTTCTTCTTGAGGGCGACTAAAATGATTACACTGTTTGATGAATAACTTCCCTACAGGTTTTGCAATGCAAACAACAATAAGAAAACAGCGGTGCCTATGTGTTGTACTCGCATTGTCACTGGAATAAGGAAACCTCATAAATGTACTGGGCTGTGTAAAAGTCGGAGACCAGCCTTCCAGGTTATTCATTTTTCAGCATCAAGAAAAAAACATTAGAACATGTATTTGAGAGAAAATTACAAGCCTCAACAACTAAATATAATGTCAGATTTTTCCGTTTTGACCGTGTCCAGCATTCGCCTATTCTTTTTGGGAGTTTTTCAAAGAAATCTGCAGGAATGTTTTTCCATACTTGCAAAGTTCAGTCTTAGAAGTTGGTTGCATTTTCTGATTCTCACAATCCAAGTAATCTCAGACGCATTCAGTGATTGTCAGTCCACTGTTCTGAGAACACCAACAGCTTATTATTTTGATTTGTAAATTTCCTTTTCTCAGTAAGTGCTCCTGACAGCTACACATGCTTTTAGACCCATAGTGTTGAGTTGTATTCTCACAGTGAAAGGATGGACAGAAACTCCTGTGTTTTGAGTGAGTGGAGCTCGATTTTCTCCTGTCTCAAAGATGAAAGCTTTAGAGACTGTTTGTCTGATGGTGACAGTTTTGGTGGTCTGCAAGGTGTTGTATGGTTGTTAGGAGTCCCATTTTCTCTAAAACGTTTTTTGAAGTCCAGTGTTGGAAGCTCATGTCTAATTTATTATATTTAATTAGAAATATTTCATGAAAAGTGAAAGCCTTGGATTTCATGGCTATTTTTGGACTGGAATGTGAAGTAAATCAAGGGTGGTCTCTGACTTTTGCACAGTGATTAATTGATTGTTTTTTATTTATTTACCTGTTGGAAATACCAGCTGCTCTTTATATTCTCTAAAAATGTAATAACAAATGGACCACACATTTTGGAAAGTTAACCTTTCAAGCCTTTTTGTTTTAGATGACAACAGATGTTAATGCCATTTTTGAGATCCGAGTTTTTCTTGTGACAGTGATGATATATGGTGTGAGTGGGCTCTGTTGTACATTAGGGGTTAATAATCATGGCCGCTCGCTCGCTCCCTCCCCTGCTGCAGGCTGAGCCTCGTTAATATTCCGTTGTTGTTCGGCGCTTGTGTTTTATTCGGGGGCCCATTTTCCATCTGCGGCGGGTGTTTTGTGTTCGCAGCTGTGTTTGATAGCGCGGGCCAGCCGAGGCCCTGGCAGTGATGGATCCCTGATTTACGCCGCTTTAGTGCATAATGAACTGGGCCCTCAGCCGCGGCCCCGGCACCCACGCGCCCCGGCCAGGTACAGCAGCACCACAGACCCCCCCTCGGGGGGCACTGGGACGCAGGTGGCAGCCCCCGAGCTTTCCGAACAAACCCCCCCCCACACACACACCCCCCCACCCAGCCAGACTCTCCCTCTGTCAGTGCTTGATGGCTTTCCACGTTACAGGCAGGGAGGGAGAAACACAGCAACAGACGCAGCGTCTTGATCTATCACCTTGTATCTTTACTGCCTCCAAGCTTAATGCATTCCTAACAAAACCCAAGTCGTGCCAAGCCCCTCGAACCGCCGCGAAATTTGATAAGCAGATTGGCCCGTATCTGTGGCAACAAAAAATGCCGAATTTACACGAAGCCCCTTAGCCTAAAAATAACGCCGTGTATTAGATATATATGAATTCGTGCCCTGTAGTGTCGAGTGCGAGCTGTCGCCAATTATTCTGCCAAATAAAGATTAAAGATGCTTGTACTGATTGTGAGAGCAAGCCACCAAATTTAACTCCAGGGCATTTTGCAGCGAGGAGCTTTCTGCTTTTTATCCGTGGGCTCGGCACAGATGTCTTTGATTGAAGCGCGGGCTTAGTCGCAATTAAAGGCAGGTGAAATTTGGCGGGATTACTATTCCAGTCGCGTGCTGGAGCCTAGACACGGACTGTGATGGATTGCGCTGTGTGCAGCGGCTAGAGACGCTAGGAAGAGCAGAATGTCTTACAGCATGAGCCGCAGATAACTTCATGCAGACAAATAAAGACTGTCACTTTTATTGATTTCCTCCGACACCCTTCTTTGTTTTTTCCTATTCTTGATTCTTTTTCCTGTTATTCTTTCTGTTCCCATTAGGCATAGGGCTCTTTGCCGAACAGAAAGCAGTGACATTTGAGCCCAAATGGACGAATGTAAAACGTGCGAAGCACTAGGTTGCGTCTCCCACCGAACCTGCCTGAGGAAATTGACATTGTCTCGTAACGGGGGGTGGCGAGAGGCTGAGCATGACAGTACATAACGAGAAATGCAATTTATTCCTTGGCACGGTGCCGCTCGGACAGCCAGATAATGAAACACGTAGGTCATTCACAATGACTTAAACCTTCAGCGCCGTAGTGAAATGCATTAATCGAGAACATTACACGCCTGGCAGCGTTGCGCATCTGTACAGGGCGAGAATGATATATGAGCAGGCTGCTAGTCAGACACAGGAAAGCAATTAGCAAAGGGCAAGAAAGAGCACCCCTGCATATCATAATATCCCTGATTATTGACATCTGAATATCCATTACATACGTGCTCAGGCTCCAAGAAAGCTGTGATGAAACTTCGCTTGTAAGAAGAGGATTGCAGTATGCAAATGAGATGCTATTTTATCACACTTGTGAAATTGCCACGTTCCACTGTACACCAAACACTGCAGCCAGTGGTTTTTCATTAAGTGAGGATGCTGAACTATTAAGTTCAGCCATATTTGGTCACATTTATGGTATTTGGATCAGTTGTGGGAAGAAAAATTTGCGAGCAAATTTGAAAAACATCCACTGTAAAGCGAGGATATCATTAGTGAAATCGCAAACGACAAAAAAGTGAAATAATGATTCTCAATAACTGATGTAATGTCGAATACAATGCAAATAAAAACTAAGCAGAAAGAGATTAATAAATTGTTTTCTCTACATGAAAAAGTTAATCTCTCTCATGTTACTAGATCATAAATGCTTCAGCCAGTGTCTGAAGTTCTCTAAAGGTTCAGCCTAGCTGAGGACTTTAAAGGCTTCTGTTAGATACATTGTTTTACTGCTATAACAAAATGGCTAAACTAATTGGAAGACCATGACAGCAGTCAGTTTAGGATTACTTGAAGTATGACCCTGTTCCTCACAGAATCAAAAAACTATCAGCAAACGGACTCTCCGTGGAAACCAGTTACTTTGATTTGTTCAAAGTTCTGGCACTGGATTAGATCTAAGCAGCATGACAATATTTATCATTATTGTGATACATCACAACATTTCACAATAAGCTTTTCTGTGTATATCGTGGATATTCTTGTATTTCAGGAAAAACACTAAAGAACTTCATGTTTTGTTCAACAGAGCATTATTATTCCTGTTTAATGGAATTAGTGCAGTGCAGGATGTGAAATGTTGAGTACAAGTAAATGTATTAATGGTTTTCAATTTTTTTTTTTCAATTGTGGCACTACTGCTTTTTTGTCTGGTCCAACTTGTCAGACGTGAAAAAATTAATGTTGTTGTATGTCGTATGTGTAAAGTATAGTGATGTTATATTTGCTGTACCTCTACATTGGATTCATTTTTCTTCTTCTTTTTGTTACGCCTGTAGTGGGTTAAATCACAGAACTGTTGGCCCTGCAAATTACTGCTTGAACGTTTCACAGATACTGATTCACACATACTGAGTGAAATGTAATTGATTTTGCCAGTGGGAAGTGCTGTTGTAGCTCTCATATTTGGAATTTGACACTATTACTGAAACAGATTTATTAAGCTCTTTTCAGCACTGACAGTGCAGTCCATAAGGATCATGTTTTGGAGCTGTAATAAGTTTGACAAGCAGTTAATGGTTTTGTAAGCAATTTTGAAATTTATTTCCCTGCACTTTAGACTCTGCTATAATCAGGACTTTCTCTGTAACACTGAGAACTAAAACAAACGCTGAAACTGGCTAAAGCTGGCCATTTTTCTAAAAAAAAATAACCAAAATACTAATGCACTAATAAAACTATAAAAACTAAATAAAAAAAACATAATTTAAATAAAAAACTATTTAATTAATTATTAACTAATTAATAATTACATAACATTAGTCAAGCTATGAGCATCCTTTGCTTAGTAACACCAGCAATGATTATATTTTTACCTGTAACAACTTGTCAGTTGACCTAAATGTCCTAAACTGTCCTCTGTTCATTTTTAAGGTGACCACCCATTCGAGTGCGAGTTCTGCGGGAGCTGCTTCCGGGACGAGAGCACGCTGAAGGGCCATAAGCGCATCCACACCGGAGAAAAGCCCTATGAATGTAATGGCTGCGGCAAGAAGTTCAGCCTCAAACACCAGCTGGAGACCCACTACCGTGTGCACACAGGTACGTCCATCCTCCACTGGGCAGTAAAGCTTCTCTACACCAGCTAGATGAACTGCTGTGTTTAGGCTGTACAGTATATAGTCATTATTACAGTATTGGCCTTAATAATACTGAAGGCTATCACAGAAGGCTTCAACATGCAGATGAGCTCTCTGATCAATCAGAAAAGTGTTTATTGTGTGCTGTAAAGATGCTGACCAATCACAGACGTTCCTGGGGCCTGTTTAAGTTTGGTTCGATGTAAACCTTATGACGGTGGATCACCTTCTACCGGGTTATGTCACCATGGCAACTCTTGCTGCACACCAGCAAACCCTCTGGTCATTTCTTTATTTTCTCTTTATGATGTTTCTCAAATCAGTCACATGAAGAATATTGCTCTTTTGCAGAAGTAGCTACATACTACATAAACGTTAAGAATATAAAGCAGTTATTACTCCAGTGAGCACTAATGCAGTGGCAGTGGTGGCAGCATTGCTTTTTATCATTATAAATGCTTTACTTTCTACAAATCACTGCGGTCATTTCTTTTCCTTCTTTGAAAAGAAAGCTGCTCAACTCCTCATGTTTCAAGTGTTTTCATGCGCACATGCATGAGGATTAATCTAAACCTAGGTTAACAAAGTTGGCGTAAAACAGGTTAACCATGGCTGCGTTTGTTAGGTTGCGTAAAGCAGAAACTTCACTAGGGGCGTTGCCTAAGGTGAAGTTGGCCCTTGAGACAGTGTTCTATAGGATTTTGAATGATGAAGGCATCCAACAAAAAACAAAAGGCCAATCTTAAACCAAGAGTTCATCGCTGTGTTCATAATGCATGGAAAGACAAGTTGCGATTAGAATCTGTAGCAATAGATTCACGATACGTTACTTTGTCCGTATCGCTCAGCCTTAATTAGAATGCTGTTACACCGAGGCGTGAGAATGAGCGGGTCATTCCCGTTTAATGTCTTTGCGGTTCTTATGCAGTATTCATGTCTCTTATGTCTTCACTTGACTGTGTTTTCTTTCAAACTCAAACATGACTGTGCTGTTGCATCAGTTTCTTCTTAAAGAAATCTCATGGTGTTGTTAAGAGGAAGTCTTGATTGATTTCAAGGTCTTAGTCTTTCTATAAGGCCTTCACCAAAGGGCAGGGCATTTCCAGTGCTGTCAGCTCACCCCCATGACAGGGGGATTAGGGCAGTAGCGGAGAGACCAGTGAACGCCCAGGCCGGGCCTTCTCCTTCCCTCTGTTGCTCACTAAAGGCTGCCGTTAAGCCACACTATCAAGGCAGCCTGTCAAATAATTGGCTTTTTTTTTGTCGGGCCAGGGCCGAGCGCACCCGAGATAACAAGAGCAGTGACAAGCTCGCAGTCAAAGGCCAGCGCACACAAAAGAGAGCCGCTTGATGAAGCATTGACATTGGCAGCCCCGCGCCGTCAATGGCCGATCGATAGCCGGGCTCCATTTGCAATTCATTATTGCCTGGTTATCTGAGGCCACCCTGTTTACAGTGTGGTTAAAAGTATACTGGCCACACATGCGCGTGCTGCAGCCTCCTAAAGCTTTAATGACCACCTCATTAGGGCCGTTTGCATAGACGGCTGTGGACGGACGTGACATTGCTCCCGCCACCTAGGTCAAGGTTGGTCTAGCGCACTGTCAATGCCGAGAAAGACGTGAACAAACAAACACGGTGCTCAGAGTTCCACCGAGATGACCGTACGCAGGCTTTGGTTTTGCTCTTCACCTTGTCTCTGCTTTCTCCAGTGACATTTTTAAAGGTCAACATTTAGATGACTTATGTGCTGCTGTCAGACTAAATGGAGAATAGATTCTGATACTGTCACTAAGTATTTTTCTCTAAATTGTTGCGTTAAGAAGTGGCTAGCTCTTTACTTTTGCAACTCTTCAAGAACTGTTAAGTTACTGTGAAGAACAAAAATTTAGCACTGTAGCTGTCTGCCCTTCACCTAGATCTGAGGAGAAAATCGAAATTGAGCAATGTGAACATAGCCATGGTTGTGTAGTACTTGCATTAAAAAAGTTAGCTCTTGTCGCAGCTGTGTGCTACGACTGTACTTGCTTCACTTTTTAAGTAGGAGTGGGTGAAATGGCATAAAATAGAATTTCACAATCCTGGAAGAATTTTTTACGGTATGATATGCACGATATGCGTCAAGACCTTTGGTTTTCCACAGGTTTTATAAGTTACAACAGACAAAATGCCCCAGCATTGTCACATTTTTAAAAAACCGAGTACAGTGATTTTGTTCAACTTTACACATACTGCACTGCACTAAATCCAATTGAACAGGACTAATTATGCTCTTTTTTTTGTAATGTAAAATGCAGTTGCTCGGTGTTATTTAGGTACTAACAATATCCATAGTCTGCTCAGAACAGTGTATTGTGGTGTAGTGTGACATAATTTATCATGATATGATGACAATATTGTTATACTGCCATCCCTCACTTGAAAGTTGCTTTGGATAAAAGCATTTTCCAAATGAATAAATGAATTTTTTTCCAAACATAAATTGGTAATTTTTCTGTTAGGCACAGATTTGACCTTTTTGTTTTAGGCTATGTACAATCGTATTTAGTTATATAGTAAGACTGTTGTTATAACTAATATAATTGTCATTATCATCACTGTGTGTCAGTTGTATGATGGTAATGATGTGTGATGGTGATGACAGTTCTCACTTTTCAAAGAAACAGTTGGCTAAGTCTGTGAACAAATTGCATAGCTACAATATATGATACATTAGGTACATAAAGTGCAACTGCTATTTCTGACAGGACTGGCAGTGCAGTTCAGTAAAAATTCTCTTTTAGGTCATGAAGTATAAATGTTAAAATTGCTTATATTTCTTGCTATCTAAATGTCACTCTACTGCCACTAAAGTCAATTCACTTCTCTTTTCTATGGTACTCACATGAAGTCTTTAAAATCTGATGTGATTTTAAATGACATTTTAATGACAGCTGAACATTCCTATACAAAATGTTCAAATTGGACTTGTACAGCTTTTTGAATTTGAATATGGAAAATACAAAGCAAAAGTTCAATCAGTTTGTATTGCTTTATTAAAGAGAAGTGAAAAGGTATGAATGGGGGGCAAGCCAAAAACTGTGAAAAGCACTTGTATTATTTTTCAGAACAAATGTCATTAATGAGGCACAAAACCAGTTAATGAGTTATTATTAGTATTTAAAACGCTGCTTTTAAATGCTGTTTTAAAATACTGTTTTAGAACGTTTTTCTTAGAAAAGCTACCCAGGTGACGGATAAGTTCCTGTAACTGAGGGATCACTCAGCTGTGTATTTAGGTTTGACAGAGGTCTGTCCTTGGACTGGCTGAGTACTGGGGGGTGCGCGCCGCTGGTTCCTGACCCTGTCTTTAATCCCTCCAGGTGAGAAGCCGTTTGAGTGCAAGCTGTGCCACCAGCGCTCCAGGGACTACTCGGCCATGATCAAGCACCTGCGCACCCACAACGGCGCCTCGCCCTACCAGTGCACCATCTGCCTGGAGTACTGCCCCAGCCTGTCGGCCATGCAGAAGCACATGAAGGGCCACAAGCCCGAGGACATCCCACCGGACTGGAGGATAGAGAAGACGTACCTGTACCTGTGCTACGTCTGAGCGAGGCCGCGGGTGGAAGGGGATGGGGGGAGAGAAGCATGGATAGACGGTTTGGAATGCAGGAGGAAGTAGCGAAATTGGGGAGGGGGGTGCCATTTTTTTTGGCCGAGGGGCTGGGCAAGGCAAAGAGAGAAAGGATGGGAAGTAGAGAGGGATAGGACTTGAGGAAAAAAAAACGTACCCCTTCAGTATGGCATCGTGGTGGTGTCACATTCTGTTGTGTTGTAAACAACATTTTGTTGGAACCAGTGTCTCAAACAGGAGGTCAGCTCTACTCACTGAGGTCATGTGTTACACCTACTCCTGGTATATAACTGAGGTTTGGTCTCATTAATCTAGAAGTCAAGCACTTACATCTGAGTTCTAGTGCAGTAGGCTGTGCTGTCTGTTGGTACTGAGTGTTTTTATCAATGAACCATAGACACCCAATGAGTAGAGCCTTCCTGTCTGATTCACGTTCATTAAGTGTTTATTGGTTTAACCAGCATACAAATCAGCTAAGCTCTCAATGCTCCATTCATAAATGTCATTTCACTTTCTCTGCATAATCTCCAGCGCCGCATCATAGCCTTTCATAGCTTCACCGCACGTACTACAAACCTGTATTACGACGACAGTTTCTGTTTGAGTTCTTATCTGACATTACTGAGTGCGTCCGTTCTTCTGTTTTTCATCAGTTCCCCTTTCAGTGCACACTGTATTTTATTAACTGGATGTTTTCCTCTTTTTTTTATTATTACTTCTCATTTATTTTTCTTCTTACCAAGAACACAACCGGTTCAGAACTACATTTAACATGCAATAATCAGCAGTTAAGATCAGAAACAAGACTCAGCATCACATTAAGAACATCCACCCACTACAAATGTAAAATCTAATCACCTGTTCATGCTGTTCTGATATAGAGACCAAAATATAGACTAAAGCTGCTTTTGCCAGTGGCTTGGACACTAAAGGGCACTGTGACGTTCAGGACTGGTCCCCACATATCTGAATGATAAGTGAAAAAGAGTTTCACGTGCGGTATGAGGCCTGGCCTGTCCAGCCCAGAGGGCTACCATGAAAGAATAGATCAACTCTTTATATGTTTTTCTTTTGCTACGTCTGCGTTTTCCTATTTTACCTTGATTTATCTCAGCACATTGTACTTGAATTACCTCGTATTTTTTTGTGACCTCATGGGCTTGTGTTTTAATTTTTCCTTTCTTTTTTGTTTTTTTTTTTTGTGTGTATTTGATTGTGAGCGCATGTGTCTGTCTGCTACGTTGTGCAGAGGAGATGTGAAAAACGACGTGTACTCAGAAAATAAGTGCCACGGTGAAGAGAGATTATTATTGCATTATTGTTGTTACCAAACATGGTATATTTTTTGTTGTTTTTTTTTTTTTATTAACCCTGCTTGTTGAAGAGCTTGTGGGTTTGGTCTTTTTTTGTAAGCTACCTCTAAGTTTTGTTCTGTTTCTTTGTATGTTTTATTTTCGTTGGCAAAAGCACATTTTTTCATGTGTGTTCGTTTGCATTATTGCAACTTTCTCATCTCATGCTTTGTCTGTTGAGATTAGTAAGTGACATTTATAAAGGGTAAGATTTGTTAATGATGGAACTGAAAAAAAAAAGTGTTTATTTTTTTCTTTTAGTGCCCCCCTAACCTTTTCCTTAAGAGCAGTGAAGAGATTTCGAAGCCTTAAGTTTTGGGGTAAGAGTTGATCTGGGAGGTATGTATGGGATTGATGGAGTGTAGTACTTTAAAGTTAAAAAAAAAGCATTAAACTTGAAAATATGTGAATAGAATTGTAGTTTTGTAATGTGAAACAAAAAAAAAAGATGGTTCACTAAGGCTGAACCGCTGAGAACAGGTCATATGCAGCTGTGCATTGTGCGTTGGACAATTGGGACTGCAAGTGGTAATCGAAGATGAAAGAAAGGAGGAAAAAAAAACGAAATCCCGTCAGTCAACGTTTCTTTATATGAGTGTAGTCCTGAGCAAGAGCCAACAGAGGCCATTTGATATATAAAATTGTGATATTTTTGTATTGAGTGTCAGTCCCTTTTCCATTTGTCGAGGTTTCAGCAGGGCAAATTTGTAGTTTTACTTGTTTTCCTTTTTTCTCTTTTTTTTTACTTTTTTTTTTCCTTCTGGTTTGAATCGTTTGCCTTGCTCCTCTTTGGTAATGTTGGACATAAGTGTGTGAACATGTTGTGGTAAGTGTTGATTTCTGGATGTCAATACATTGTAGGTGAAGGACTAAATCAGCCACAAACTCCTTTTTTGTGAAAATAACAAAAAAAAGAGAGAGATTTCATGTGATGCCAATGATAAATTACATTGCACACAAGATTTTTCAAACAATCATGTTGCCAACATTTTTGTTTCTTTACTTGAAGTGACTAAAATAAGAAGGGATGGGCAGACACGGGTTGGGGGGGCGGGTTGTAAATGTCTTGTGTCTTGTTGTTATATCCTGGAAAACACTGTGAGTCGGGCCGTCTTGGGCCCCCTGTGAGATTCAAAGCAAGCATAAGTAGCTCAGTGTAAGAGACAGAAATAATATTGCTTTTCTGTGTGAAGACATAGTTTGGAATATGGAGCAACAATAAGAGATATTAAGCCACATACCAGTGTCACTGTTCTCGATACTTGTTTTTTAATTTCTTTTCTTTGCGCGTGTGCATTTAGTGTGAGTGTGAGAGTGTATGCTTGAGAGAGAGAGAGCGTATTAGTGTCAAATGCACTAATCTAATAGTAATGTTCTATGCCACTTTTCTCTCTATATGATTAAAAGATATTGGCATTGATATAGTTCTTCCCTCAATGTTATTCTGATGTTTCTGTAATATTTGTGCCTAAATGAAATTGTTCAACAAGTTGTCCATCTATATCTGCTTAGTTTCTGTATTTTCAAAAAGAAAATAATCGGTGTCTCTAGGGCTCCAGGGATGCCAGAATGATCGGATCCTGGCTCCACGACGAGGCTAAATTCAATCAGAGTGGGGGGAAAAATATTTTGCATGGTGTTTGGATGGTCTGTTTTTTCATTAACGACTAAATATCAGCTGCATAGGCGTAGGATTTTGTACACAATCTGAGAGCGAATTATAAACATTCCTTGATACGAAATATTGTGCGTTTATCTCGACGTCTTGCTTTGAAGGGTTTTCTGTTTTCAGAACACGTATTTTCTTCAGTCGTTTTAATGCCGGCAACAGGTTTGCTGATAAACGCTGACAATAGCATCCTTTCAACTAGACCGAGATTACTGCCCCAGCTTGACTTGACTGTTTCTTCAGTTAGAGTACTTATACTGTCAGTGCGTATAAAGCGACAGTAAATAAGACGTCATCTTGGCATCCCTGGAGTTGGCTCACTGTGTTCAAGTGTGGTGTTCTTGAAAGAGTAGCCATTTCATGCCGTGTTGCCATGCATGTGCCATTGAGGTCTAGACTAAACTGTTTGAGTAACAAAGCACCAAGACATTGTCTTTTTTTTGTTTTGTTTTTTTTTGTTTGTTTGTTTGTAAATTAGCACTGAGGACCAATTGCCCTGTCGGACCAAGCATAACAAAGCTTTTTTTATTGTAACAAAGCATCTCTCTCTGTTCCCCTCTCTCTCTCTTTTCTTTCTTTCTCTTGCTCTCTCGCTCTCTCTTTCTCTTTCTTTTGCTCTCTCGCTCTCCTGTTCTCTTTCTCTTTCTTTATTTCTCCCCCCACAACCCCCCACTTCGCTCCCCCTTTACTGTACCCCTTCCTTTTTGGCTTATCTGTTTTTTTGTTTCTTCCTTGTTGTGACAGCACAAGTGCCAGTCCAGTTGCTCTGTACTAAAAAAAAATAGTGTTTTTATAATTATTTGAATTGTTATAGTTACGTCTACCTCAGCACCTAATCTTAGCCTAATCTTAGAAGGTGCCCATTTATTATTTTTTTTTTCTGTTTGTTGTCAATTGTTAAAAAAAAGAAGAAAAAAAACAATTAATTTGCATTAAGCTTTGCAAAGGTCCTTTGTCTTTTCCAGCAACATGCTATTTTTGTAGCACTACTTTCTGGCAACCGTGCTACAGATATCGGCATCAGTTTCTGATGTAGTTTTTCTTTCTGTGTAGAATCAGACACATCTCTTTGTAACATTTCAGTGTTCTCTGATGGAGTGTGGAAAAAAAAAATAAAGAAATTAAAGAGATTTAATGCTGCAGGTTTTCTTCTCAATGTTGTTACTACGTAAATTGTGTGCCTTTAGTAGTGAGAGACTTTTTACATCCTACTAACAGTAGATTGTTTTGTAGTGACTTGTTTTTTTTTTTTGTATTTTTATTTATGAGTCTCATCAAAATAACAAATGTTCAGTTGTATTCCTTAAATCTGCAGTTAGAAAAAAAATAAAAAGTGGACTTAAGTTTGTCTGGCTTTTTCCATCTCTTTTAACTGCTCGTCGAGATCAGTAGGCCTTAATGTCAGCAGAGCGAGTTCTGCAGGAGGTGCGTTATGTACGATTTCCAAAATTAATGCTCTTTTTTTATATGATAAAGAATTGTTCTGCTTGTGGTTCAGGACTGTTCAGTGACCTTGTGTGTTTGTGTGTTGCAGAGAATGAGAGGAACGCCTTAGGAAAATTGGGCAAATGGTCTAAAGTGTCTGTGTAGAGAGGTGAGAGAGCCGCAGGCACTTCTGCTCTCTTCTGAAATTTCATTTATGTTCTTCTCTACTTTACAATAGCGCATAAAATATGCTGTAATGATTTTAGCACTTGGTTTAATCAAAGCTTCTTAATCGTGCTTACCCTGCTCTACACTCTTAAAAATCAAAGTGCCAAAAAAGGAGTCATATCCTTTTAGAACCAATGTTGATTCCTTAAAGAATGTTTCAGCAGATGAGTCTTTAAAGAACCATTTTTATCAGTAAAGGTGGGAGTGTGAAAAACCTCCCACTTCGAAGAACGTCCACATAATTCAAGGCCCTATACAAACAGGTTTTTTCCAGAACCACACATCCATGTAGATGTGTACATTCTAAGTAATGAGTTTTTCAGTTGTGTGTGTGAAATTTTGAACACCCCCAAATTACATGGTTTGTTGATTTTCTAAGTGAAAAAGTTAACACATCCTCTACATAGAAGGTGCCTAAATATTACATTTTCTGCATATTTTAGTGGACAATTTCTTCAAGTGTAATAATAATGTGTAATAGTTTTTAATAATAATTTCATGTTTTTTGTTTTTCAGTACTATACACAGTACTGTATGCAGTGCTGTAGTGTGTGTGTGTGTGTATGTGTGTATCTCCAAAATGGTAACTTTACAGAAGAAGGAAAAAACATACTTTACTTTTAATGTAAGTCAATGGAACCAGACTTCTTTCCAAGTAATTTTGGAACATTTCATTTGTTCCATTCGTCATGAGATGTACACACAATATAAAGGGTAACAGGCATTTTCAAATTATGTCAAAAACTGAAAAACGAGATGCAAGGTTTTGTTCTGACAGCAGCGAAAGAGAAATGTATATATTTATTTATTTACTCTGCTGCATACACTACTATGTATAGTTGCTCAGAAAATTGCACAGAACCCTCAACAACTAAATAAAACACAATTTCTTTTCCACACCTCCAAAGTCGTAGAACCTGTTTCACTTTCAGTGATTTTGAGGTCTGGACACTGGGGTGGTCAGTCCGTTGTTCTGAGAACACCAGCAGCTTCTTTGATTTGCAAAGTTTCTTCTTTTTCTGTGTATTTCCTGTTCTCAGTAAGGGCTTCTTAACAACCAAACATCCACAGTGTTGAGTTGTTTTCTCACAGTGGAAGGATGGTCAGAAACACCTCTGTTTTTTCAGATCTGAAGTAAGACTGGAGCTTCTCTTGAAGATGAAAGTGCTGTTTATCTGATGGTGACAGTTTTGGTGGTCTACCAGGAGTTGCACAATCAGGAGTTCCAGTTTCTCTGTATCTTTTAATCATTTTTGAACTCAAGTTTCCTTTGACCCGAGGTGTCCCCGCTCTTTATGCAAGTGGATTATTTCATGTGTGGTATATGTAATCTCCAGAGAAATACCCTAAACCACTAAATAGAATGACCCTGAATAATAATTGCCATATAAAATCTTGAATCGTGTGCAGTGGGAAGGAGGTCACTTTAGCGCCACCTGCAGCTGTCATGTCCAATAGTATACTCCCATTTGAGAGAGAAAGAGGGAGGGGGAAAAAGAATATAAAGTGTAGCTGTGAGCACTTGCGTCTCCTGCAGTGGAAAAACACAGCCCCCAGATAAAGGCTTTGCTTAGTGAAGGGGAGTCACACATGTACTGTAGCATTAGCTGTGCAGGGCTTGTGCCATCACAGCCTGCTCTGATTACCATTTGGAGGGAAATAGACTGAAACAAAAGAGTCTCTGCTCTCGTTTTCTCCAGAAAGCAGACGAGTGGAGAATACAAACGTAAGCCCTGCAGAGGCACTGAGCTCTCTGCTGTCTGCCTGGGCTCTTTACACACGACCCGGAGGAATCGTTTGAACAAACAACTGCAATCCACTACAACACTAAAACTGTCTCTGGGATTTGGCCTGCATTCAGTTCTGTATTATGTGTGCATTAGAGTGATTTTATTATCCGACTAATGTACTCATTAAACATAGCCAATGATGTGGACAGTCATCAGCGGACTGTGTGCTGCACAAGTAGGATTGAAAATATGATTTATTCAAATACCAGCAGTCGGACATGTCAGATATAAATGTCAAAGTAAAATGAAAATGTAGAGATATACTGTCGCCACATTTTACTCTGGATCCTTTTAAACTTGGATGATTTGAAAAACTTTTTAAGTAAATATAATCAGACCTAATTATATATAATCCATTTTAAATTTCACATGTATTACATATGTAATATATATGTATTATACATTTTAAAATGTATATTGCACATCTATTACATGTATTTAATATTTGTGCATTTGTGTATTCTCCTTCTAGCGCGAGCATCACTGACCAGAGCAAATTAACCCCTTTCTCTCCATTCTCTCCCCTAAGCTTTAACACACACAAAGAAACAATCATATTTCAGTGTCAAACACAGATTTTGGAAGGCCTGAGTGGGGTTCGAAGCCCGGCTCTCGTTTGTAAGGCCTTCTAATCATATTAAAGATGCCTCCTTTTCTCTCTGCATCATTAAGAAACGTCCGAGCCGGCACCCTGGGCTGCTGGGTCTCCGTTTGGGTCATGTGACCCTCCCAGCCATGTGAGAGAGGGCTGCGGTGAATGAGGATCTGGCACTGAATAGCCTTTGTGTGGCGGCCAAGGGGGTCCCATCTTTGGGTGCTCTTTGACCCAGATATGATCTAATGGACGAGGGGAGTTTAGACAGTGATGTGTTGAATGGCGGACGTGGTCTTCTCCAAATCCCCCGATTGTGTTCCCAGCTAAACCATGCCTGTAGGCGTCAGCAGGCCAAACTGGCTCAGCCTGCAGCCAGGGGACGTCTATTGACAAGCACATTTATAAAACAAGTGATGTCCTACAAGAAGCCACGGAAGCCATTCATTCAGACGTTTTGTCAGCGTTTGGTTTCTCTGAATGACAGTTGTAGCTGAAGCTGAATGAATTTTGTTTGCTAATTTGCCACAGTGCATGTTGATTTTGTGTCCTTTCTTCTTTATTGTTGGTCCTGTGTGGAGCTGCTGCTGATTGCTGTTCGCTAGAAACCCACTGATTATGAACTGTCTGTATTTCTCATTTCAGACCCCAGTGAGACTTATTCATGGGTAAATTTTGTGATGGCCTCAGACAAAGCCAGTGCAACAATAGACCATCTTTAGCTTTTATAGCCCTCTAGTGATGGTTAGCGAGTATGACAAGCACTCCGTTGGACTTCAGCAAAGTAATGTGCCTTTTAATACAGGGCAAACACTTTATTATGCAATGTTTCAACTTTTAAAGTAAGTTAACGTGGCTCCTGTAACATTTTGATTTGAATGTCTTTCAAATAATACATTAACAGAATGTAACGCATGAATTACTCCTTTGTTAACTCACTATTAGAGGTTCAGTGAAGTCAAAATTATAAGGCAACCAGGGTACTTTTTCAACCAAAAACATTTTTTACAATGCATTACTGTATAGCATCATAATTATTCTGTCTGTGAAACATAAGCAGTATTAAAAATGAAATTATACAATACAAACCTCTGAGACCACCCTTTAATTATTTAATTTCTACTAAAAACAGTCATTATGTTAAGCTATTCATTTTTCAGGAGATATTTTTGAGGAGATTAGACATGAAATAATCAACTTGCATAAGGAAGGGAAAAGTTTTCAAAACTGTAATAAAAGATGATCAAAAGATACAGAGAAAATGGGACTCCTAATAATCATGCAAGACCTGGTAGACCACCAAAACTGAGAGAGAGGAGAAAATCTCCACTCTTACTTCAGCCCTGTAACGATCCACAGGTGTTTTTGTCCATCCTGATGAACGTGAATGTGGATGAACGTGAATGTGAACACTGAGTGTGTTTGTGATTACTTGGATCATAAGAAGCAGAAAATGCAACCAAGTTTGATGACTGAACTTTGCAGGCGTGGAAAAACATCTGCAAATTTCTTTGAGAAAGTAAGTTTCCTGAAAAGAATGGACGCCGTTATAAACATAAAGTGTGGGCACACTAAATGCTAAAGCTTTGATATTATATTTAGCTGTTGAAGCTTCTGTGTAATTTCCTTTCAAATATGTTTTCTGCTTTGTCTGACACTGAATAATGAATAACTTGTACTTGATAACAGGAAATCTAGTAACTGAGGAATGTTCTCTGTAAGACAACTGTAAGTCATGTAGTTTACATTTTAATATGCTTAAAAAAAACAAATATGCACTACAACAATAAATAAAACATTACTTATTGTTTTTCAGCCACAGGGTGATGGGGTAATGGCTTGTGAATTGCACAAACCATGCTCTGACAGGCTGCAAACACGCAGTCTCATCGATTGTATTGGGATCAATGCTCCCATTTACTGTCTAACTCATTTTTGCCTTAATTATGGAGGGTGTCAGTGGCATTTATCCAATCACCATACGCCCGCTGAGTGCATTCCTACTGAGGTTAAAAAAAATCTTTACGATTAGTACATTTAGTGTTAGTCCTAAGGCGAGGATTAATGCCCAACAGCTCTGTTGACGAGAGGAGGG